AGATATCAAAATAGGGAAACTAAATGTCTTTAAATGGTCAAAAGTATCATTTTAGGTCTGTAGGTTTGCTGACTGGTTTGTGGGGCCTTAAAGATATTCGAATCGCGAAAAACAACCCGCATCTAGAATTAAACTGGTCGGTAAAAGCGCCGTGACACAAGTTTATGGAATTTGCTCGATCTTGGTTATGGACTCTCGGTTGTGCAGATTTGGCTTGATACAATGGGCAGTTTTCTAGCTATCTATCATTTAGAATTCTGAGGGTCCGCTATGAAGATTCCGTCTCATGGATAATTCCTATAGAAAGTGGGGTACCTCAGGGTTCAATTCTGGGTCCAGTTTTATTAACCATCTATGTTGATGACCTTACTAATGCTAATGAAATTAATAATAGTCAAATCAAAATGTATGAAGATGATTGCCAACTGTTAATAGTATGGATCCTTAACACATAAGGTCACGTCTGGTGGCTATATTGCGGTGTACAAACAATGAAACGGAGGTCATGTTGGTGTACCAGAAAATATTATGTGGGTATTGAACTCTTTTCTTATGTAAAAACTTCATTTATTCCAAGAAGTTTGCGTAGCTGCTGACCACGTGATCCTGAGTGAAAACGATTTATTGATAGACGATGCTCGCATAAGTCTTTATTTATCATCGTAAAAAAAACTAAGAAATTTGTCTTGGGCTTACCCTAACTTAAGACAAGATTATTTGACTGTATTGATTTTCTTCCTCTTCTTTATTATAAAGTAGTATATTTAATAGGCCATTTCCGAGTTCCCCCGGGCCTCTGTTTCAAAACGAGGGTAGGTGATCATCCTTTAATATGGAAATCATATTTCATTCTCATGCAAATAAAACTCATTTTAACAAGAAAGGTTGTGCGCCTAGCCTCATTTTGAAAGTGAGGGTTTTTGGAACTCGGAAGTGGCCTATTAGTACATTATCTTCATTTCATCTTTTCGCTATTTTTGTAGTTAGTGTCTGAAAAGCCCTGTAAAGGAAATTCCATTAATGAATTTTTGATTGGAAAGTGTGAAGTCGTAGATTACTTAACTGATCGATCTGTGTATTCCTTAGGCCAATGTAGGGAATCCGAAATCCGATAAATTTTCTTTCTCTAGAGTCCGGGAAATTTTTGCTTGTGAATATAGAATCCCGGGGTTTGGAATCCGGATCGAAGCCCACTAACGATTGGAATCGTTTCAAATCTTCCGGAATCCAGTACTTAGAATCCATAATCCACAGCTTCGTACTCAGGCCAGTTAGCGCTATCTGAGTTACCAGTGGAGGCTTGGAACCGATGCGAATTTTGTCGACAAGCTTGACAGGCGACTAAATCGCCGAGGACGACTGCGAGTGAACAAGGCTGCAGAATCCACAGTGTGGAATGCATAACCCAAGACTTGGATTCTTTTACATGGGAAGAATTCCTGCAAGCCATGAGCAGTGAATTCCCTCACGAAATAGTTATTACATTTCTTCAGCTCCGTTTCCTGAATTTGATCTGAAATATTTCAAAGTAATTTTATCCATTAAAGATTTTTCAGTATGACCGAATACTGAGAAGTTGAAACCCAATTTTTTGCTCTTTAGGCACGCACTAACGCAGATTTGAATTTGACACTTGAGGCAACGATCCGCGACTAAAGGATTCGTTTTTAAACAACTCCGATGTTATTGTAACCCTGGTCAAAGCAAATTTTCATCTTTACTTGATACTGCATGACAGCTGTGGTGATAGCCTGCGCCACAGACGAAACCAAACTCTAATAAGTCGGTCTGCGAAACAGCGCCGAAATCCTTGTGCTGGGCCATCACCTGTGTACCAGGATTTGAGTACGCGCCATGATTGGACTGTTGAAAAAGTCATTGTGGATTCGCCAATCAGAATGGAGGGAAATTCGAAACGCACTTCCGCCGAGTCCGTTGGGGACCAGAACAAGGATATCCAGTGGCGGATCCAGATGAGGGGCCCGGGGCCCCGACCCTCGCCCCCCCTTATATTTAGACAAAAATGAGGCCCGAAGGGCCGAAAAAATTTTTTTGAGGCTGGGCCCTCCCTTATCTGAGGGTCTGGGTGACGCCCCCCCGTTAATGGCGACGTAGTTTATGCCCAAAATTGGGAGGTATTGACCCTGAAAAACCTCATCCAGCCACTTTAACAAATTGACGTCAGGTGTCTTTATGAATCTGTTCTCTTATTGATGATGAGATTACGTGATAACATTGTCAGAGGGCTGCCGCAGACGATCGAGTGGATCCAAGTAGCCCAAGCTCGAAATATGAGCATCGGCATTGTTGCGTAACATTTGAAATGTAAGGATTTGTATGGGAAAGAAACCTATCGTTTCTGTAACCTACGAAAATGAAAGGATTTCAATTTAAAAAAAAAAACAGCTTGCCATTCTTAAAATGTGAGTTACGTCTCTCCTGTTTGGTCAACGGGCCGATTTATGGCCGTTTTATGGGTTTTTATCTAAACGGTTTTCTCTGTATATAAAGGTTTATCGTTTACGCACCAATACCGATGCATATTTCAAGCTTGGGTTACCTGTGGTGGATCCACAACAAACTTTGACAATGTAATTTTATCATCAATAAGAGGACAGACACATAAAAACCTGACGTCAATTTGTTTTTTACAATAATAAAAGCTCGAAAAAGTCAAAATACCGGTAAATTGGAAAATTTAATTTTGACTTTTTTAAACTAGCACAATTTTCGGATCATTTGACGTTTCTGTGTAACTGACTACTTACCCTTCCCCTAAGTCAACATTAGCAATTACTTCTTACTTAGAGCAAAACTGTGACCTAGGGGAGGGGTATGTGGTCAGTTACCCAGAAACTTCAAATCATCCCAATTTTCTCGCTTGGGGATTGGCTAGACAGAAAGTGAATCTTGTACGAAACTAATCAACGCAACAACATCGAAGTTCGGCATTCTTCGGCAAATGACCGCGTCTTGCATAAATTAAAATTCACGGATTAAAATTTTGTCGGTCCTCTTATTGATCGTAAAAATTAGCCCATCAACGAGCGAGAAATAGTTCAGTTATTGTAAAATGATTATTGGGATCCATGTTCAGTGTTGGAAATGAAGTGATCTTAGCAGTTATTTTTCGAGAAAATCAAATTTATGACCAAATAATCTCATGATAGGGTAATTTGCAAGTGATAATTATATCACAAGAGATAGCAGATGTAAGAATAAACGGAGTGGAAAATTACCATAATACTAAAAGAAAACCCCTAAGGCGTCTCTTTAAATGCTAATAGCGTTTATTTTCACCGACCGTGGTATAAACACGTGAAGCTAATTTGCACATATCATGCTGTTTGATTTTCATCATAAACGCGTCTGTCTCCGAGACATCAGGCCACGCAATAGCACAGTCAATCTTCGACAAAACCACGTTCCTTTCTACGGTAAGTAGAAGTTATTTACGAAAACGGTACTTTGGAGTTGTATTTTTTCACTCTATGAGGAAACAAGCAATACTCAATAATAATAATGATCATTTATCAGAAGAGCGCACCCGATGTTTTCAGATAGAGCTTTTGCATTTGCTTTGAAAGTGGGTAGTATGAGTTGGCGGCGAATTAAAACTACATGTAGTTAGAAAAAGAAAACTGATCGAAACTGGGCAAAAATTATCATTAGAGAAAAAATGTTAATAATAGAAGAAATTTTCAACTCTCCTCTGCGTTCAAGCTTTACTTACGTAGACTATGAAATAGGCTCAGTTTCAAAAAACTTCTTGCATATCATGCTTAAAACTATAATATTGACGTGGGAGAAATTTAAATCATGATGTTAAAGCGGTAAGTCTGGTAGTATATATGAATGAATAAGGTACCCAACACTAGACAAGCTAAAGCGGCTAGTCTGAAAAAATAAAGGAATTCTGAGTTTTCTCATGTTATTGTTGTTGAACGTGGTAAAATAGTTTAACCTGCGCAGTGGTGTGTTCTTAGTTCACACCTGATTATGCTTTAATTCTTAACCACTTCTATATTTTGTTATTATCACGGTTGTCGCGCTAGAAATATAATCATTATATTCGCTTTTTACTTTGAAAGAGGAAATTTCTAGGCCTTTCTCCTTCTTATTAAGGGCTTGCCCACAAATGCAATTAGTAAATGCAGTGAACCGGAGTTGTCATCATTTTTAATAGGCCGCGGCACTTCATGCAAACCTCTTGAGTTCAGGAAAAAACTCTTGACGCCACTCACCATATCTTCACACAAATATTCGTAACGTGGTCTTTATCGACAAATATATGCGTCTTCTAAAGAGCTTTGTGAAAGGCCTGTTCAGGACTGAGCAATTGGATGAAGCAAAAACGTAGAGTTTCAGCGTTGAATGATCTACAACAATTCCGTGCCCAAGTTTAAGAATATTCAATTTGTCTTTTAAATTCATACTAGACACACTAGAATAATTCACAACATAAACGAGTATATACGCAAGAATTAAAATAGGCTCACTTCTTTGATCGTCGAACTTTAAGTCTGAAGTATTACAACTATGCTTTAGTAGTCGTACTTGATGGTAGTTGAAACCTCGTTTGTTGAGGGCAAAACTCCTTTAGTCCATGAATGTATGTTAGATATAAAAAAACGTTTTTTCTCTATGATCAAAACAGGCATTGTATTGTACGGTCATTTTTTTAAAGAGAACTTCACCGAGGCCTCAGAGGAACCAATTTGACAGGGTGTAAAGGGAGAAGGTTGTGAATACGTAGCTTGTGAATACAGCCGCCCCTCATCGCTTCCCCGGTAGGCTTTGGTAGATTGTGCTAGCATAATTTTAAGCATAATTCAGCAAAACGAGCATTATTTTAAGCATTTATTTCAGTTTAGCACTGCTGGCATAATCTGACCTTTTATGCGTTGAAAACAAAAAACCCATCATAGCTCTAGAAGAATTCAGTTTGTATTTTATTTCTGTATTGTTTTTTAAAAATATTGACGTCTGTGCTAAGGCCCATGGTCAAATATGGTCCGGCAGGCGGCAGAGGTCACCCTGTGCATAAGACTGAGACTCAGGCCACCACGCTTATGGCTCGGCGGTCGGCCCCTCAGATGGCGTCGTCCTCGAGTACATCCACTTCCACCACTTCCAGTGCCGTACCGAGAGCTTTAATCTCTAGAGAACGTGTTCGTAAAAGTAATACCGGAAAGTACAAGGAAAGAGGTAACTCAGATCCAAAGAACATGAGTCCTCGTGATCGAATCGAAGAATTCCCAGGGGAAAATTTGTGTCTTCGAGGTGGAAAACTGTTTTGCAATGGGTGTAAGGAGATATTGAGCTCTAAAAAGAGCATTCTCAAAAACCACTTGGCTTCCAAAAGACATGCCGCAGGCAAAGAGAAGTTAAAAGCGACAAAAAAGCGAGATCATGTGCGCAGATGCGTATTTGCCACGCTAAAGACTGTAAGACTGGAAGGTGGACTATATGAATGTTCATTAAAGTCAAAATTGATAGAGTTAAGCTACTGATGATCTTTATTTTCCTTAAAATCAGTGTAAAATCTAAGTAGCATAATTTCGGTGACAGAGAGCAGAACTTTCAGAAAGTAGCATAATTTTAGCATAATTTCTAAAAAATATGAGCACTGCTAAAAGCATAATATGCTTTTTTTTCGAGCACAATCTACCAAAGCCTATTCCTCGGGCCGTTGTGGTATACAGCTATTTCGAGAAAGGTTGTCGGAAAAAGTGTGCACGCGACAATCCCGAAAGGTAATATGGGATATGATCAATACACTTTTCCTGACTTTGTAGCTGTCGAACCTACTTTTGTTGCTTTCCTTTAGCACTCGCAAACATAAGTCCATGGCCTCTCGTGCCATTCTATCCTGACTTTCTTTGAAGAACAGTGACCTCAAAATCACCCATAATACCTTTCGGGATTGTCGCGTGCACTTTTTCCGACAACCTTTCTCGAAATAGCTGTATACGCAAACGTGTCACCGTGGCCGGATCGATACTGGAGGCGGCGGTCAGGATATTCATTACGTTGCCTCCCGTACCTCAGACTCGTACCCAGTCGCTTTTCAGTATCCGCGCAGTGATGAATGGAAGGGACTTAGTGAGAACGTGGTGCATCAAGGGAAAAAGTAACTCACCCAACCTCGTCCCTACATTGGAAAGGGGACCAGTCTGCCTAATTCCCAAACGCCTTTGCGCGCGTCAAATTTTCCTTCCCTATATTGCTTTGCAAGAAAAGGCAACTGACCACTGGGAACAAGTCTGGCCATGCCCTGTAGCTTCAAAGCTGGCAGGATTCTTGTGACCGATCGAGGTACTTTTTTGGCTCGCGGCTCCGCCGCCGAAACAGCACTCCCACGCTAATCCCGCCTGCTACCCAGGCTAATAACCAGGTAGTCATATTTTCTGCCATTTTGTTAGTAACTATGGTTTATAAATCCTTGAATTAAGCACGCTGATCTAAGACCACTCTGGAGCAGTTTCCACGTTTGCCAGACAATTTAGCCTTGAGTCAGCATTATCCACATACGAAGGACCTATGCTAATGAGCTACTGAGATTTTTGTTCTTTAATGCCCTTTTACCGTACCGTGTCCTCTTGCTTAGGAAAGTATTACATACATGCAGCCTCGTTCCCAGTCGTCCTCTGTGACTTCGAATATGACGTCACCTGTCAAGCTTGTTGTAAATTCAATTTTATTATTTTTCCCTACAACTTGATGATTGGATAACCTTAAAAAATGAAGAAAATTACTTGGGAAAAATGCTTTTGAACAAAAAAAAATGAAACCCCAGGGGACTGGCCCCTCCCCCCTTTCCCCCCCAAAAAATACGGATTAAATTTAACCCTAATTTAGCGCAGGAGGGTTCCTGGTTAGCGCTGATCGGCCTTCAAACAGGGCCCAGTTGTTTGAAAGATGGATAACGCTATCTATCTAGTGGATTCCTCCTGAGACTTATCCGCTGGATGCGTTTGAAAAACCAGGGCCTGGACTCTACCACACTTTTTCGCGCGCTTCCAAAAATAGAACTATGGCCTGGCTCCCAAGTTTCTTCTCACAAGGGAGTGTTCTGATCATTTCGGAAGTTCTGCATTTCAAAGGCAAAGGAGTATAGAAAGATGTAAGTAGATTATTTCACGTCCTTTCTTGCCAGAAATAGCTATTTTAGTCTTTCATGAGTTATTCATTGAGTTAGCTGAAGACAATGTCTTACCAGACCAGTTCCAAACGGTCGCCCCTGTCCTGGCTTCTCATTGGTGCCAGAAAACTTTTGTGTTTTTCTGCCCAATCAGAAGGCAGAACGGCGGCGACCACCGTTTGGAACTGGTCTGGTAAGACATTGTCCCCAGGGGCTCTTCTCGCCGTTCTTTACTTTTCTTCCTGCCATATTTTCCCGCCCGTTTAGACTTTCCCTCGCCCCCACTATCTGCCCCTGGGTCTCCGAGGATGACGCAATCAGCGCGCGAGAAATAATTCAGTTATTTGTAATATGATTATTGGAAGCCCTGTTTAGTGCTGGAAATAAAGTGATCTTAACCGTTGTTTTGCAAAAAAATCAAATTTACGACCCAGTAATCTCATGACAGGGATAGGGTTATTTGCAAATGATAATTATTTGACAAGTGATAGCAGATGTAAGAGTCAACGGAGTGGAAAATTACCATAACACTCAAAGAAAATCCCTTAGGCGTCTCTTTAAATGCTAATAGCGTTTATTTTCACCGACCGCGGTATAAACACGTGAAGCTTAATTTGCACATTGTAGTTTGATATTCATTATAAGCGCATTTGTCTTCGAAGATACCAGGCCACGCTAAAGCACCGTCATTTTTCAACAGAAACCACTCTTCTTGCAAGGGTAAGTAGAACTTGTTTACAAAAAAAATATTCAGAGTTGTATTTTTTCACTCTATCAGGAAATAAACAGTACTCTATAATATTTATAATGATTTTCAAGAACGCACCCGGTGTTAGTCAGATCAAGCGTTTGCATTTGCTTGGAAAGTGGGTAGCACTTGGAGGCGAATTTTAATCGAAACTGGGATAAAATTATCATTAGAGAAACATGTTAACAATAGAGGAAATTTTCAAATTTCCTCTGCGTTCAAGCTTTACTTACGTAAACCATGACATAGGCTCAGTGCCTCAATACACTTCTTACATATTGCTTAACAAAATTAGAATATCAACGTGAGAGAAATTTAAGATAAGTCTGATAGAATATGTGCGGAGTGAATGAGATACCCAACACCAGAGAGGCTTAAGCGGCTAGTCTGCAAAATAAAGGAATTCTGAGATTTTCTGATGCCACTGATGAAGAACTTAATGAAATAAATAGTTTAAAATCCTGTTATCCCCATGCTGTGGCGTGTTTTTAGTTCACGCCTGGTTTAATATGCTTTCTTAACCACTAGTATAATTTGTTATTATCACGGATGTCGCACTATATTATTTTAAATAATCATTATATTCGTGTTGTACTTTAAAAGAGGAAATTTCTAGGCCTTTCTCTTTCTTATACAGTTCTTGCCCACAAATGCGATTATTAAAAGCAGTGAACCGAAGTTGTCATTATTTTTAATAGGTCGCGGTACTTTAAGCAAACCTCCTGAGTTCAGGGAAAAATCTCTTAACGCCACCCACCATATCTTCTTACAAATTGAGTCGTAACGTGGTTTTTAACGAACATATATGCGTCTTCGAAAGAGCTTTTGTGAAAGGCCTGTTCAGGATTAGCAATTTGATGAAGCAAAAACGTTTATATTCAGTACTTAGAGTTTCAGCGTTCAGTGATCTACTACAATTCCTTGCCTTAGTTTAAGAATATTCAATTTGTTTTGTAAATTCATACTAGACATACTAGAATAATTTACAACATAAACGAGTATAAGTAAGAAATAAGCTCACTTCTTTGATCGTCGAACTTTAAGTCTGAAGTATTAACTCCCGGTTTCTCAGGATTTCGTCAACTGAGTAAACTGTGCCTTTAGTCGTACTCGAGGGTAATTGGAACCTCGTTTGTTGAGGGCAATCAACTCCTTTAGTCCCTGAATGTATGGTAAATATTTTTTCCCTCTCTCTAGCTATGTGGCATTCTTATTTCAGACTAGCGCAAATAATCCCTAAAAAAACTTTTTTTTCCATAATCACGCAAAACGGGCATTGTGCGCTCATTTTTTTAAAGAGAACTTCACCGAGACCTTTAGGAACCAATTTGAAAGGGTGTAAAGGGTTCGTAGCTTGTGAATACAGCCGCCCCTCATCGCTTCCCCGGGCCGTTGTGATATCTACGCAAACGTGTCACCGTGGCGGGAGCGATACTGAAGACGGCGGTAGGATCATACGTGTGTCCGCTCGTACCGNTTCAATTTGTTTTGTAAATTCATACTAGACATACTAGAATAATTTACAACATAAACGAGTATAAGTAAGAAATAAGCTCACTTCTTTGATCGTCGAACTTTAAGTCTGAAGTATTAACTCCCGGTTTCTCAGGATTTCGTCAACTGAGTAAACTGTGCCTTTAGTCGTACTCGAGGGTAATTGGAACCTCGTTTGTTGAGGGCAATCAACTCCTTTAGTCCCTGAATGTATGGTAAATATTTTTTCCCTCTCTCTAGCTATGTGGCATTCTTATTTCAGACTAGCGCAAATAATCCCTAAAAAAACTTTTTTTTCCATAATCACGCAAAACGGGCATTGTGCGCTCATTTTTTTAAAGAGAACTTCACCGAGACCTTTAGGAACCAATTTGAAAGGGTGTAAAGGGTTCGTAGCTTGTGAATACAGCCGCCCCTCATCGCTTCCCCGGGCCGTTGTGATATCTACGCAAACGTGTCACCGTGGCGGGAGCGATACTGAAGACGGCGGTAGGATCATACGTGTGTCCGCTCGTACCGGCCAGACTCGTACCCAATCGCTTTTCTGTATCCGCGCGGTGATTAATGGAAGGGACTTAGTGAGAACGCAGTGCACCAAGGGAAGAAGTAACTCACCCAACCTCGTCCCCATATTGGAAAAAGAGAAGACCCTGAGGACTAGTTTGCCTAATTCCCAAACAACTTTGCGCGCGTCAAATTTTCCTTCCATATATTGCTTTGCAAGAATAAGCGAGTGTCCACTGGGAACAAGTCTGGCCGCGCCCTGTAGCCTCATAACTGGCAGGATTCTTGTGCCTGGCCGGGGTACTTTTTTGGCTCGCGGCTCCGCCGCCAAAACAGCACTCCCACGCTAATCTCGCTAGCTACGCAGGCTATTTAACCAGGTAGACATATTTTCTGTCATTTTGTTAGTCACTATGGTTTATAAATCCTTGAATTAAGAACGCTGATCTAAGACCACTCTGGAGCAGTTTCCATGTTTGCCAGACAATTTAGTCTTGAGTTCAGCATTGTCAAAATACGAAGGACCTATGCTAATGAGCTAGTGAGATTTTTGTTCTTTAATGCCCTTTCACCGTACCGTGTCCCCTTGCTTAGGAAAGTATTACATACATGCAGCCTCGTTC